TGCTGTTCAATTTCGTCATAGAAGAAATACTGGAGAGCGTACTTAGTGGTCTCAAGAACGAAGGTATTGAATGGGCTGCTGCGGAAAAGCTGTGCGATTTAGAATACGCTGATGACATCGTTTGTCTGTTCGACTGTATGGAGAATGCGCAAAACGCTCTTGACAGACTTTCAAGTTCTGTAACTTCATTCAGTATGCGCTCTGCACCTTCAAAGTGCAAAGTGATGCTACAAGGCTGGGTGTCATCTACTCCGCGCTGATTCTTGATGGTCAAGAATTAGCTATAGTGGAATGGTTCTGCTACTTAGGTAGCTGCGTGACGAATGAAGGTAACGTAGTCAATGAAGTGACCGCCCGCATTTTCAAGGCTTGAGCAGATTACGCAGGACTGAAACACCTCCAGTGCAGACGCGGTGTTTCGTTTAAAGTGGAAGGTTGTATATACTGCATCAGCATGTGGTCAGTTTTGCTTTATGGATGCGAGAACCTAAATTTGCGCGTTGTCTAGAAGTCTTCGACTTCCAATGTTTACATAGTTTGGCACGGGTTCGATGGAGCCAGCGTGTAAGCAACTCTGAGGTAAGGCGTCGTGTATTTGGTAATGATTCGATGGAGAATTCATTGTCTCATCGATTTCAGATTGGTCGGCTTCGCTGGTTAGGACACGTTATTGCGCATGTCCGACTATCGTCTACCGCACGCGCCTTATTCGCAGTTGCGGCTCCAGTTTGGAAAAAACCGCGTGGAGGTCAATAGATGACGTGGAAACGAAGCATGAAGAAATGCGCTTAGCTATTAGGTAGAATCGGTGTGTCCCGTTTTCTAGGTTGGGGTCCGAAAGACTGCAAATGGTTGGTTGGAGATATTGAAGGATGTGGCAGCGAACCGACAACAGTGGTGTTCTTGATGTCATTTCTTATCAGGTCAGAATGCTTGAAACGGTATGTGTGAACACTTAGATTGTGTACTCTGTGTGTTGACCATAGAGGTTCACTTTCTTCACCTCCCCCCAATTAGGTCCAATCCCTCTCCATCTTGTGCTTTGTCAATTAATTTGCGTACATTGTGAGCTTGACAACGATCAGTGAAGTTCGCTTCACTGTATCTCGCTATATGAGGAGGAGGGGACACAGATAACATGAGTGTTCATGGGTTCTTGGACGGAGGATTTTAGTTAAATCTGACATTTTTGGAAATAATGACCAAATGTGAATGCTAACCAATAAAGGGACAGCCATCCAGATCGGAGGGGTGCAATTTGCCAGCCCGCCCGCGCGCGTTTTTCTGTTAAAGCTGAACAGTTGGAAACTGGAGTTGCACAAACCGGTGAACGATCAAAAATATCCTGGTGGGGTTGAAACAAATTATGTGATCCCGTGATTAACAGCGACGCGTGATATTGATTGAGAATGTAAAAATGCCAAATGTGATGGAGAACGTGTAAATGTAGCCCACTCAGTCGAAGGATGCGCTTATTTTATTCGAAGAGCGAAGTAAGCGAGTGCGATTCAAATATATGGGTACTCGAACCGATAAAATGAACGTGACTGGTGTTAGCTTATTTTACCCCATTACGTGGCGCAGTGCCCCAATACAAAGAATAAATCCCCCGTTTACGGGTATGTATGGAGCCATTCAAGGAATTGGCAACATATTCCTTGCGACTTTGGTCCATGTCCATGTCCTTGTTAAACTAACCTGCTAGTTTATTGGTAGCTCCGCGCTACGTTTGCCTTCCCTCAATCCAACTTTTTCTCATTTTCTTCACCATATAGATTCAAGTACTGCTGGAGGCCCTATCGGTGGCCAAACGCGTATTAAACTGAGGAATGAGCATGCGAGCTATATTTTTACATGGTAAGCTGACAAATTTAATTTATCATTATGAAACGAGTGTCTTGATTATTTGCCGTCATGATAACTCAGTATTTTCGGGGATAGCCTTACGAATACAGTTCCCAGAACCATTCGCTCTTTTTATTCAGGTCTGCATCTGTATCCTTTTAGCATCTAAGTGCAAACAGCAGGTTTTTTCCAGAATAATCAGTGGTTTATACTTTGGTTCATGTACATCATTTGTGAAGTCTTGTCCAGTAGATGGAACGAAACAAGATGCATCAGCGTTGTTNCTCTGTCGTCCTCATCAGGCGTTTCAACGAGTGGACGTTTGTCAAGCGGAAACCCAGCACACTCGAGGAGAATGCTAATCCTTACTCGTGGCCGTCTGATGAGTGAGCCTGAGCCCACTTTATTCATGGCTTGCCAAGAGTCCAGCCGTATTGTCCCCTATCTGCGATCTAGGCAACACGCGGCTCGTCAGCATAACATTCGCAGAAGTCATACACGAATGGAAAAACCCAGCGATAGGTAATGCAAGCTGTCCAGCCAATACAGTCAACTGAACAGGGATAACGAATCGAGGCTTGTTGGATATCTCTTAATTGTCCAAATGCAAGCCGGAGACACAGAGCGGATCTCTTCAGGCGGTGATAGGACGCTGATAGTCAATTTGACTTGGAAGCAGAATCGACGACTTTTCCACAAAAATAGTGCCCAGCAATGAAATTCGTAATGCGATACTCGTCAACCCGAAGGTCTCATCATACCAAGTCTGTTTCTACATTCTTTCTCCTAATGTATTTATCTATATTTCGCACGCGTTTGACTTCACACTATGTACCAAGCAAGTCACAGTACAATAATCTTTATAACAACGAACAAAGTTCATGATTTGCTCGCCCGCGAGCAGAGTCATAAATAGTCATCCTATCTGGTTCTTTGCATTCAAACTTAACTGAAACGCGTGTCATCCTTCATGTTGATTGTTCTCTTTCCTACATATATATTTTCATATGAGACAGTTTTATCCGGAGCCTTTATCTGACTACACTAACCCAGTTGATTTATAAGGTCTTTCAAAATGTGTTCTTTTCCTCTCATCCCACCCCCGGCCACTTTTCCGGTGTATTTGAGCATTCGATTTTCCCGCCTTTTTGCAGGTTCTCTCTGGCCACAATCGGATCTGGCTTGTGGATTGTCTATTTCTTGATGTGATACTGTTCCAAGCTGGATCAGTGCGTCAGACGTACACGAACACACACCTGACCCGGAGCATTTTCGATAGGAGAACGTGTAACCACTATTTTTTACGGATCAGGAGCAAACACATGGATAACAACATTCTCCGGGATCTTGACAGCATATCCGTTTTAAAGTGTGTATTTTTATCCTCATTATCGAAGAATCCCGATCATGACATACATCAAATACAGAAAGACTAGTTGTATAGAGATTGCTTACTGAAACCGTTTGCCGCATCGAGTTGAGTGTTTATCAGGAGCTTGATATTGTTTTGATGCGATCTGTGCAGCTGTGTTTGATTGGTTGTGTTGGTAAAATCAAGCGAAGCGTATTCTGTTTGTGACTTAGGAACTATGAGTGAAAGGTTTAAATAAGACATTATGGTCAGGAAAGGAGTCTTCGATAGTAGTGGCACTATTGTACGGGTAGACTGTCCTGTCCTCCGGGTAAAATTTTATCTCTTTTGTCTCCATCATTCACTTCACTTTTAATTGTGATCTGAAGAAGCTGAGACCTCCATTCTCAACCACACTCTGACGAACCACTCGATAGGCGGGCTCACCCAGGCTGAGTGTAACCGTTGGTTGTAAACGTCTGCTAAGTGTACCGTGTGGTGTACGAATACGCATATCTCTTAGTTGACCGACAAGATGCACTGCTTGATCCAGTATAGCTGTAAAGAAAATCGACAACTGATATGAACNCAAAGATTGGATTATGAATGTTTATTTCGTAGGGAGCTACCAGTAACCATTAATCAGCAGTTCGCATTTGGCTTTACGGAGGTCATAGGTGCGCTCTCGATGAAAATCCGGATAATCTCGGACCCATATTGTACAAAGTCCCACGAAACTCCATCACCTTCGTGAAATTGGTTTACCGTCCCCAAGCAGTCACTTGTAGTAAAGTGTGTCATGCATACGACCAACTGATCGATTGGTTGGTTGGTCATCCCATCCGATCACATTTTTTTTTTCCAGTCAGTGGCATGAGCATGGCCATGGGTAAAGTGGCCATCACGACGAAACTGCACCTTGACGTGGTGGGATGGCTTGCGTGCCTCATTGACCCTGCGAGCTACACAGGATGGCTCCTCACAGCCGTATATCCAACCATGTCTGAAAGGTCAACGGGTAGAGGCCAGACGAAGCTCCGTCTCACAAAGCTAGCTGCTTGGGCACCCCTGGCTTCCTTCCTTCTACCCACACCCGCCCCTGGAGAGGCCACTCCAGCAAATAAACACGGTGAGGGGCAGTTTACCGCAAAAAAAGTCAAAAACCCCGCTAGATGGACGTAGGAGCGGGGTACCTGGGGCTTCCTCTCGACGGTGGGACACCCGCTAGATGGACGTAGGAGCGGGGTACCTGGGGCTTCCTCTCGACGGTGGGGAGAAGTTTCGCACTTCATTAGACAGTTACTGCCCGCCCAAGTTGGGCAGCCCCCAGCCAATAAGGTGCTGTCCCGTCCACGTTCCACTTGTCTCATTGGGTGCATGAGGATAAGGGCTGATCCCGAAAAGCGAACCGATAATCAACGTACCAGTGAACAACAAACTTGACCGAAATTCAAAGACCCTGCTTGACAGGTCTCCAGAAGCTCCCACACGGGTGCTTCATCCACGCTCCGGCGTTGAATTCACGCCCCACTACCTTGTGGGTCAGACTATTGAGTCAAAGGCTCCGGTTAGGGTTCCCAAAGAAAAACCCCTTCGTCGGTGTGGGCTACCGCGAAGTANCATCTGTCCACTTCTTCTCAACCCCGAATAATCCCCGATGCCTCCTGTTTACGCCATCCATCGAATATCAGAGGCAGCCGGACCAGTAATGCTGAGGTCAGGCGAAAAGTTTTAGGCACTCGCGGTCGCCCACTGGAGCAAGTGATCGACCTCCATAGATTACGTTGGTTGGG